ATACCAGTTAGCCTCCGCGCGATACCGTGCGCGTCTCATGGCTTGCGATAAATGAATTTCTTTGGGATAACCTGGAACGTAATCGTCTTAGCAACACAGTCCACCCTCTTCCAAAAATTGGACAGTACCATTCTACCACCCAGAATAATAGCGTCATAAGCCGTTTATTGAGAGCCATAGTTCTAGCAAACTCCATTTGGCAACCATTAACAATCGTTTATCCTTATACTAGTTGGGACAATCCAAGAAGTCATGGAAGGACCTTGAAATAATTAATTTCTTGTTTATCCCGAACCACTACACCTGTCACCTATCGTTAGTCTTCCCATATTGCCGCCTACATCTCTGCCAAATTTGAACCACCCAGGTCCAAACTGACTATTTCTGAGGAAGCCCCGTCCCCAGTGGGCAGAGTCTGCACCTGTCACCTACCATTAGTTTTCCCATATTGTCGCCTACATGTATGCCAAATTTTAACGCCTCAGGACCGAATTTACTTTTTTTTTGAGGAAGCCCTGCCCCCAGTGGGCGGAGTCTACACCTGCCACCTACCGTTAGTCTTCCCATATTGCCGCCTACATCTCTGCCAAATTTGAACCACCCAGGTCGAAACTGACTATTTCTGAGGAAGCCCCGTCCCCAGTGGGCAGAGTCTGCACCTGTCACCTACCATTAGTTTTCCCATCTTGTCGCCTACATCTCTGCCAAATTTGAATACTCTAGGCTCAGGAGCAAAGGAGTTACAGATTTCCGGTGAGCTACACTGTTCGCGCAAGCCCCGCTCCTAGTGGGCGGAGCCTAGCTTAGATCACGTGTACCCCAAGGAGCCCGGCCCATTCCCCACTTGTTCCAACCTGTCTGATGGTGAGCTGTTTCAGTTGATTTCCAAACGGCACCATATGTATAAGATAGTGTTACAGACAAACAGACAAACGCACAAACAAACGGACATTTGCGGTTTATATATAGTAAGGAAACCTTTGACTTTAACCCCGTCCACCGTGTGCATATGATTACCCTTCCACCGATTGCCTCTATCCATTTTTGCGGGATTCTAAAATGCTTTTAAACAGACGAGTCAGTCGTCTAATGAATTAAATCCAATGAAATCAGAGGGAGGATTCTTGTAGAAAGCGCTCGTCATTTGAAAGCATGCCTTGCTCACCGTAGGCGAAGCTTCGCTCAGCTTAGACACACTTAGACGTGACTAATTTCATCAAAGTTTTCCTGGCTTCGGGACTGCTGTGGAACCGAGTCATTTTACTTGTTGACACGTTCTTCACCTTTGCACAATTTTTTTTCGTTGTCGGGGCTGTTCTGAAATCAATTTTGGAAGTTTCGCCCTTGATGTCATCCAGTGCGGGGTATATCCGTGGACAACTTCACCTGAGCTCACATATGCTCTGTTGATACTGCTCTATACATACTCCAACCATCCCGTAGTTGACCCTTCTTCCTAGGTGCTACTTCAGGAAATATGGAATTTCGTGGCAGAACAGAAGACTAACAGACGCAAGCGCTTCATACTCAATAAAGACTGACCACCAGTTCTGACTGTAGACTCTCAGTTTGAAAAAAAAAAAACAAAAACGTCTTAAGAAGTGGTGTCGGTTTCAGCCGAGTCTCTCAAGCCGTTGTTTCTTCTACAACCCTGCCTCAACCCCATTCTTTCTGAGCAGTTTCGCAGTATTATGTTCCGAAGTCAACCTGACAGCACTAACATTTCTTTATTTTTTTTTTTGCTTGATTATCAACGATTGTCTGAGTAGTCACCTGTTATTTTAAGAGTCATAATTCACTGAGAAAGAACGGTGGAAAACTCCCGGTCAACCTATTATGTAGTATGCAATTATTTATGCTTAGGGTGGAGCCATACTGCTTCCTCTTCTCCAAAACCTTGAATTCAGCATGGATGAAGTCGTCCGAAAGCTGGCACATCAAGTATGCTCAGGCCAATTCGAGCTTGACCCAGACATTCGCTTGATTATGGCGCCACTTCTCAGCGCTGGAGACGTCATGGAGGTAAGCCTCGAAAAATTTTTGTCCAGCATATTCTTATGGTACTCAATAGAATACGTCGCAAGTTGCATAATATTTTTAAAGAGAAGTGTTTTGAAGCCTCCTTGTCTACGCAAGTGCCATAACATTTGTACCCTCTTTTTCTTGGGAATCAGAGCTATGAAAATGAAACCAGCTTCTTCGCATGCATATTACTTCAAAATTATTTTGAGAAAAATTTCTCAACGATCCTAACTAGGACAAGCTCCTCAGTCTTCCATCTTTACAAAGCCACTCACTCTCTTCTTTCTTTGTCATTCAGTGGGTAGGCAAGAAAGTTCCTCGACGAATAACTCGCTTCTCTTCTCGTCTCGCTCAGTCTGATGGTGTCGCACCTGATATTCCCAGCGTGTATCAACAGATCTTCGATACTTGCTTCTGATGCAAGCGTTTGTGTATTAGAAATACAGATTGCCATTTACAATTAATCCTTCTTCCTTTTCGGCATTATGTTGTGGACCTTAGGTTTTGGCGGCCTCTCCCAAGCGGCCCTACCCAACGCTACAGTATGGGGAGCTCAGTCAGGTTCAGGAAAATGGGACGCATTTATAATTCTGTTTTTGGCATATGGGTAGCTTTTTGGCGAGTAGCTTGCCAGGCTCTGGCGTGGGGACAGATAAACTCCAGGAAGCTGGACAGGGTATCACAGAGTAGATAAGAAGCTTATATATTCATCTCAAAAGCTTGCAAACTCAGGGCAAAACATGTACGTGTGACCGGGAAGTGATCCTGGAGGCAGCCCAGAATCGCCTCTAGGACTACTTTCCAGTCACTCGAATGGAAATTTTTGGGGTATACGATGCGCTGTATACCGGCTACCGCACGATCTCCAGCCCGTATGCTTAGGTGATATACGCTCGAATGCGTATTCGTTTTGCCCTGAGTTCTCTTGTACAGATGCCCGTTGCAGCTTCCCATTCGGATTTTTACAGTTATTGAGAAAACCCTAGTAATAACGGCCTGGATGGTTTGAGATTCTATCCAGACCTTCGTTGTGGTAGCTGCATCATCTGTTTCTGCCTCTTCGCCCTGTCATAGCTCTAATTGAAAAAAAAATCGACTGTGTCACGGATTTGATTTTGAAAGGAAAACACTTTCTGTAAGCGAAGTCTTGGTCTCTATGCTTTTATATACTTGTTTGCATAGAGAGCTATACATGCTTTTCATTCTATTGCAGAATATCTCGAGCTTCAATCCAGTTGTGGTACTGGCGATCACGGAAGGATTCGTTGAGTCTATCACATTCAGCCCGGCACGGAATCAGCCACGCCTTTTCAACAAGACTGCTGTTGATGAAAGTCTCACGAAGGCTCTCGGTTTTGGAACTAACTGTGAAAAGTTCGTGAATTGAAACTAACACTTCGTAATATTTAATAGATCCCTAGGCTTGACCAGATCATAGTGCTGCAGAGAAACCTAAAGTAATGCGACAGGCGGCGTTTAGCAAAAACTTTGAGTTACCTGCGGTTACTAAGTCGTTTTCGTGAGCCGTTTATCATTTCTTCTAAGAACACCTTATACATAGAGAAACAAAAATGCGCAATTGCCCGCTACAACAAACCCATTGACCAATAGCTATCATTTGCTTTGAATGTTGGACCCTATCAAAGCGAAACCTCGTTCAAAACCGAATTTCAGGCCGATACGTGACGCTAGATTGGCTTTGACCATGGATGATCTAAGGCTGCATTCTGCTTTTGAGCTGGGTATTGCACTTGGCTGTGATAACTCCACAGATCCGGATAACTTGGAGAAAAAAGCTGCCACAGTTGGCACGGTTATAGATGTAAGTATTAGTTGTTTTGCGTGAGTCGCGCGAATGTCATGTTTCTCTCTGGAGATCTTTTACCTTTTCCGGTCCTACCACTAAACGTTTAGTCGCCTAAAAATCGGTCGTTTTTTCTGAAGTTCGGGATAAAACTAGAGATGAGAGACATTAAGTGTTCGATTCATGCAGGCATGAAATCCTTTACATAATCTGCGCAACAGTTCTTTATTCCGCAACATATAAAACAGTCCTAACTAAACTAGTAGCCACCCAGCCCGACCCGATTTCGAGAAGAGTGACGGGAAAGAGGAAACTTCCTCGGTGTGACTGAACTATAGAAATTGTGTTACAGCAAATAAGATGACCTGCCGGTACATCCACATTTAGTAGTTCAATATTTTTCTTATAGATGCTGAAGAAGACAGTGACGTTGGACAGCGTCCAAGAGTACTCGGTAGTGCCCTCTGCAAATCCAGCTGATCATTTTACACCCAATCAAGCAGTGATGGTAACTAGGTGGGTGATGCTTTTCGTTCTATGCCAGCTTCCCTTCTAGTCACTTTGGCGTGTTCCCCAGCTATAATTAGTTATTTGAAGTGCTTCGATTCCGCTGCTGAAGGAGAAGCAGTGTTTGTTCACAGTGCCAACTAAGAATCGCCTTCTGAACTTGTATCGTATGGGTAGCGGAGAACCGCCTTACACACTTATTATGGCAGTCGAGAAGGTCAGTCTCTAGTTTTAGGCGATTCTTTAACTTTCGGAGCTGTTGCACCAGAGAGTTCCGGAAGAAGCTATGCCTTCCATTTGATTGCTTTGACGCCTCATTCTTTCACCATCGATTTCAGCGAACAGAGACGCTTGTTTATGAGATGATGTCAAAATGGTGTGACACTCCAGGCGCTGAAGGTGTTCAGGATATAATTCGCGAATCCACCCTTATATTCATGCCGGAAATACCGTTCACACAGGTGTTTTCCTTTTTGTTAAAGCCGATCTTTGCAAAGGTTTAGATAGGTGCTTTCTATCATATACGCCAAAGATCTAGAGTTCTCTGTTTCGTATTGTGTCTGAGTAGTAAGGGTCTCCACATTGTTCTGCTCTTCATTCCACCTTGATGTTTGAAGTTGACCACTCACTGTTTTAGTTGGCTTGCCATGATTACGATACGATTACACCATTTCAACCGTTGATCGAGCATGCATGGAAAGAGCTGCCACAGATTGACTACGTTGTGCTCTTCGGAAGTGGGGGACTTAAGGTGAGCGCAATTTTTTCGTGCAATCTAGTTTTTACGTTTTCTATTGAGAAATAGGGCAAATAGATCACACATGCAGTCTTTTACCTGAATATTTTTTGATACAACATTTTACAATTACAAGCGTAATTTCTCTAGTATTGTGGTTTCTTTGCGAATATTAGGTTGGCAAGAAAGCTCTGCGACACGAAATTCGTAGCGTCAAGAATTTGGTATAAAAAACACGATAGCAAGGATGATAGACTATGGGACGTTGCCTGATCAGTGACCACATTTATTTAACATGGAACGTACGCTTTCGCAACTTTGCTATCAATGACCGGTCGACACCAGATTCGTACTATCACCATGTATTAGGCACGCCGAGGGAAAAAACGCAAGTGTAGCGGCTGAAATCATCAGCGACCTATTCGCTGAAGGCACTGTTCACCTATGAACGGTCCTTAATCGGTTGAACCGCTTGACTGTAGGAGATGCTAGCCTTTGAAGTAACGCGAGGATCGTCCTATAGTTCTGTGGGGCTTGAAGGGACCCATCCACTATGAGTTGATAAACGCAGACTAGATAGTCGCATATGTCGATTGACTTTTCAAACCCCTGCATTTGGCCATAGCGGTAAGAGAAAGATGCCCAAAACCATTCCTCAATCGGATCCCGGAACGTTGCTCTTTTTAATCACTACCTACTCCCCCTCCCAGGCGTCACTTTGTTGGAAACAAGTTCGTAAATTCTTATGATCTGAAAATGGCAACCAATGATCTCTTTGAGTCACAGCTTCCTGATTTCTATAGAAAAGGCATCTGTAATGTGCATCAGGAATGAGGGAATGCTGCTGATATCTGTTTGGATATATTTCCAATACTTGCTTAATTTGGAAGATTCTGGAAACAAACCCAAAATGACTCTCTTTTTGTTGCAGAGCTTTTTTTGCCAACCTATTAATAAAACAACCGGTTCGAATCATTCAATGGCATATTAAGCGACGACTTAACTGTTTAGGTACGGTACATCAAAGCAAACGCAAGTGTGGCGGACCGCCTGGCAAAAACGTATAAGTTGTTCCACCCGCAAATGTCCACTGCCTCTGAAGATATATGTCCAAAAGGTAGTGACGATACATTTATTTTTCTCTGAGCTTTTGATGCGGGAATCTTTGATGAATTGGAATGGGCTTATTCGAAAGCCAATATCGCGATAGCAGAATTTCTATCAGGTTCAGAAGTAGAACTGTGGGCACTAACTATGAGTAAGCTATCAAATGAAGGAAAAAGCGATGTCAGAATGTGTAGGCTAACACCCTTCTTCTCGAGGTTGTTCCGGATACTGTTTGAGGGATGAGGAAGAAACTGAACAGTTGATCAAGTTTTCTTTTGTTCAATACACAGCAGCTGAGATGCTAGTAGCAGCTCTGCTCAGTCTATTTGGGTTGAGGACTCCAGATTTGAAAACAAAAACCTGTCCTCGGTGCGTTTTGCAGTCCTCTACGGAATCAAACGATTTCTCAGCCAACAAATTCTGAAGAGGTTTCAACAAATGATAATTTGATGGTGATATTTCCGTTCTATGAGAAATGCGTCAAAAGTCCCTCATATAGAATGGAATGTCTCCAAGTCAAAGTAAACTCCAAATCCTTAACGAGTCGTCAAAGATATGTGTGGTCTGTCCTGATACAGACCTACCCTTACAATTGGCTACGTTGGATTCTTCATCCTTTAGAAAGGGATATTTGACTGCGCCAAGTGTTAACTCCTTTCCAATCCCACCAGCAAAAGAGCACAATCTTCAGCTCCTGAATATTCCTTTAAGGGGTGGTCGTTCAGCGCATGATTTTCCCATTTCGGAGTGGTAAGTGGTGGTATACTGAAGTCACTCGTACATAATCCGTTCTCATCTTTCATTATCGAATGTTTCAAGAAGTGCTACCTTCAATTTAAAATTTTTTAAAAAGAAATTAAATTTAGTTCAAAAAACTTTAGTTCGGCCAAACAAAGAAATGCACACGGAATTGCGGTCCAACCAACTGCGCCCGCTGACTTTGTTAGACTACCAAACGAAGTACCATCAAATGGTCGTGGATAGTCGAGTTTGACACATTGACGTCTTCCACTTTTTCACGAGTAGTCATGCGCCTAATCATTTCGACTAACATTTTGGTTTGTCGTTGTCATCTGAAGAGACCCCCATCCCCTCCTCCCCCTNTATAACCTCCTGAAAACTACCCTTTACAATTTAACTTCGACTAACTGAA